GAAATAAAAAATTTTTTTTTACCCTTAAAAATTTTAGTTGAGAGAGAAATATTATCTCCTCTTTGCTGGTTCAACCTAAAAAACTGTTATAGGAAAACTGATGAGAGGAGTTAGGGTTCGTGTCCTGGGGTTAATGATGATTTACAAAACTGGACACAATGGTGAGAGTAGCAGTGATGCTTTATTGAAGTAAGGAAAGGAGAAGTTCCCACAGCACAGAGGGGCTGGTACAGAGACTCAACTGCAGAGGATCTCACAGTGTAGGGGCGTTTATGTCTTCACCATGTTCTCACTGAAGATCAAAGGTAGTGGTTATATGTTAGTTACCAGGTGGACTGAACGTGGCCTTAATGGAGCCCTTTCTAGTTCGTTTTAATCAGAACCTAGAACCTGTCATGACAGATGAGCATTTGTTACAAGGGGGTTCAAGTTTGTTTAGTGTTTATACGCTGGAAACTAGCAGGGGTGATGGCATTGTTCTGATCTGCTTTTAGTCCTAGGTTCCCTCTCAAGGTCCCCAAAAGCTGAAACCAGTCTTGGGCCAAAACCAGGAGTTGGGAACCCACCCCAAGTCTCTGCCAAGAATGGTAGGGACTCAGGCACTGGAGCCATCTGCTGTCTTCCCGTGGTGTGCCTTAGCAGGAAATTGGATTGGAGGTGAAGCATGGCTCCGATAGATGTGGGCATCTGCATCAGTGCCAAATGCTTCTCCTTGTGATTATAACGTATTTCATTTGAGTTCATGTAAACAGGCACGTGTCCTGAATTAGCCCAGGTCTAGTAGACCTTCTAAGGACTCAGTGTTAGATGTGGAAGGTCCTTTATGGGAAACCCAGCTTAGATTGTCATCATGGTGGTTTAATGACTCTAACCATTCCTTCAGCATGAATTTCTCCATAAGTTTCACATAAAAAAAAAATCCCAACCAACCTAACTCTTCAGGCTGCTTCTCTGCATGAATCATCTTTTTTGCAAAGAGGTGTAAGACTGGCTTTATTGCCAATTCTGCCCCCTCTTCTACAGACAGAACTCACTGATTAGATTCTGCATTTATTTAGGTTGTTCCCCTAAAAAAACCTGGTTTCCATACTGCAAATAAATGACAGGAACTTTTCCACTAGATTATCCAGACAGCACAAATGTTCTTTCCAAAAGTGGAGAGTGGAACCACAGCCCCCTCACATTGCCTGCTACATCTGTTTATGCTTAGAGAAGTGACATCCTTTGGAGATGGAGAATGCCAATTTCTCAGGAAAGGATGAGAATTTGGTGAGCCTGGAGAATAGCACAAGGAATCTCACTGTTCCACATAAAACATGTGTAGTATTGATGAGCTATGAAGTCCTTCTGGAAGCCATAGACCAATGTTTCTCAGAGTTCACAGACTCAGTGTGGTATCTTTTCCTGTGTTCCTATCTTGTCAGATGCCACCTAATGAAAGACAGAGATGTTACAAAAGCTAAGTCTCGCTTTTCCCGTCTGTTAAATGCGAATCATGTTCCATTTTGGGAAAACTTGTGGCCGGCTTTGAAGAGGGCTTAAGAGTGCTGTGTGTCCTTGCTGTGGAATGTTGGAAAACTGGGCGCTGGAGTTTGGGGATTTTGCAGGAATCTGCATTAGGCTAGGATATTACTTAGTAAGCTATAGACACTTAGAGTTCTGTAAATCATTCTTATCTATAGAAATACAAATTGCTTTCTGGATAAACCAGATACTGCCCTGGGGAACTGACACAGCACTGCCTGCTTATCTGCTGTTTGCACTTTCTCTTGGTTTCAGTCACCTAAGATATACTATGGTCTGAAAACACTAATTTACTCAATATTTACTGAATACTAACATCCCCCACATATTAAGTAGCTTGCACTGATAGTTGTTTTACTTTATTACTGTTCATCTCTTATACAGGTTCAACTTTATTTTAGGTCTGTGTATAGAGGAGAAAACACACATAGGGTTTGTGTTAGTATCCAGTGGGGATCTTGGATATGTAGGACGAGTTGGGGGGTCATGGTAATGCTAAAACATCACGACTCGGTGCGCCACGGAACAGGAAGCAATTTTGCCAATTCTCCCGTCTGCCTACATCATTCTCATCTGAGTAGGTGAAAGATCTCGCGGATTCCTTCCCTAATCCAATAAAATGTTTGACCTAGGTTCATCTGATCAGTCTATTTCAGAGTCAAGGCTCTTAACCTTCCTGGAAAATTGTTGTTCTTACACCGTTGACTTTTTGGGAGAAGCAGTTTAAAGGAATAGTTCGACGTTTTGATCAGGTACATATTTTGCCGGAAGGCCGTGAAGCTTCCGGTATGAGGGGAGGGGGCACGGGAAGGGAGAGCGAGCGAGTACTGAGCGCTTACAAGAGGGTGAGGACAGGTAGGGGGCTGCGAAACCCTCCCCAGGGAGGAAAGTCACAGACCTTCCCATCGCTGTCCTTTCAGCCTGGAGACCTTGAGGCCCAGCGCTGAGGCCTCCGTGGAAGCCAAGGCCAACTAGGGCCTAGCTCCTGGCCCTGCAGGCCAAGAGAGTGGCCTGGGGTTTGGAGCTTTGGGGTCACAGAGTTAACTGCGAACTCGATGGGGCTCCAGCGACGGGCAGCCCCAGCACCCCGCAGCGAAGCCAGCACCCCGCAGGAGGGCCACCAGGCCCCCACAGGGCAGGCCCGGGCCGGGTCCCAGTCCGGAGAGGCCCCTCGCCCACGGCCGAGGGGGTGGGGCGGCTTCGCCTCGGGCCGGTGCTTTTCGCCCTTCGTTGGCCGCCAGAGGCTCCCTCTCTCCCTCTCTCGCTCTCTCTCTCCTGGGATTTTGCTGCTGGGCTCCCTCTCTCTGCGGCCCTAGAGTTAATCCCATCAGCCGAGGTGAGGCACCTGTTACCCCCCGGCCTTCCTCGCCCCCGTGGCCTCTCCTTGCGTACACCGCGGCCTCCCCGTTCGGCCCGAGGGCCCGCGCCGGGCGACCGCACGTGGGCCGAAGCCCTTCCCTCACCGGCTCCCCTTGCCCCAGGCCGGCCCGAGGGTGCGAGCGCGGCTCTGTCCGGCCGCCGCCCGCCCGCAATGGCGTTGGGGAGCGCGGCGCGCCTCCCGGGGCCGCTCGGCGCGGGCAGGGCGCGCGTGGGGGCCCGGGCGCGAGTGGCAGCGGCCGCCGCAGCCGCCGTGCGCGCCGCGCCGTGAGGAGCGGGTGGCGGGGCCGGGCAGCGGGGCCGGCGCCGAACCGCGGCTACCGGGACCGTGGGGCGGGGGGCGCCTGGCGTGGAGGGGGTGGGAGCCGCGGCGGCGCGACCCTCTCCGCCCGTGGCGCTCCCGTTCGGGTAAGCGGGAGTCCGGGAGGGTGGCGATGGAGAGGCGCGCGGCCAGCTCGTACAAAGGCTGAGTTGCAGGCTCGGGTGGGGGCGGCTTGTGGTTGGGGAGCGCCGGGTTGAGGACAGGAGGCATTATCAGTGGGATCTATTGTTTCCTGGCACGAGGGGAGGCGTATATGCTCATTAGCCTGTAATTGCCCCCCTGGCTTTTCTATTTGATATTTATTTATTTATTTTACTGTGGCCAGGGAGCTCATCTCTCCCCGTGCCAGCCAGGGATCCGCCTGGCAGCCGCCGGGAGCCACAGCCAAGGTGTTGGGACTTCAAGGTGCTTCCTGGCACCAAGCTAGCCTGAGACCTGGTACCATAGCGCCTGGCGTCACCTGCTCTCCCGGCCCAGCCCCGGGGCCCAGGGACTGCGTCCTGCAGCAGGCTTGGGAACCGGCCGCCTCTCCAGTTGGTGTTATTTATGTTTGTCTTTTGTGAGGGCAGGATTTGAACCCTCCCCTGCAGGGCCCCTTGGCCTCCGCCCCCTCGGGCTGGAGTTGGTGGGGGAGGGAGTGGTGTGTGTGTGTCTGTGTGTGGAGGGGATGAGGGGAGGGTTTTGACGGCTTTCAAAAATGTGAGGGTAAAAGGCGATTGTTGATGGTTTAAAACAAAACAAAATAAAACAACCAGGCAACCCACTCCGTAGCTGTCTGCCTGCATGGGCCTGCATGTGTGCTGGGCCGGGAGCCGAGTTTGGAGGCGATTTAAGTGCCAGTGTGTGTGTCCTTAGCTGATGATGGGGTGTGAGGGTGGTGGAGCACAAGTCACAAGAACAAACCCAAACCCAAAGCAGACCCACAAGTGAGATCTTGAGGACCACACTGTGACTCAGAGGGTGTGCATTGCCGGTGTGTGATGTGGAATCCAGCTGTGGGCTGGAGTAGCCCTGTAGGCTGGCCTGGCTGGGCTGTTGAGCTGGGAGAAGGGAATACACTGCTCAGGGCTTTGACTAGAGGTGACATGGTGCCTGTGCTTTCTGATTGCCCCACACTCCTGCAGTTACTGCCATGACGGTCTGCCTCCCACTTCCTTATTAATAATAGACACTGTGAGGGAACTTCCACGTGCTTGCTAGAACCAGGCTGGAAGAACTTTTGTTTTCTGGGTTTGAAATTGCGTTGTGGGGCAGGGGTGGGGACGATGCACTAGGTGAGAATGGGTCCTCGTGGGTGATGATGAGCCTCTGTTCGCGTGTTTCTGAGTTTGTAAACATGGACTCTAAACTTGTACTTGTGCTTGGAAGCAGTTCTGCTCTGTGGGGGAATCCTGGATGATTTTTCTGGACTTTAAATGATGCTTCTCGGAGGTCTGTCAACTGTTGGTTACTGTTAGGGTCATTTACAAAAGCAGCCAGTTCTTGGGAACTAAAGTATTACAAATGTGCTTAAGTGCAAATCTGTGTGTGTGTGTGGTGGGGCAAATTTTAGTAGAATCTCTAAATTGTGTTTGAGACATTTTTGTTACCAAAGACTAAGTGGGGTAACTTTCATCTCCTTGACTAAAAAAAAAAAAACTATCCAGTTGAAGAAAAATAATTGTTTTGGTTTGCCATGTGGCTAATAAAGCACTTGGAAAGTGAAGTATATGTTGGTTGACTGACAGCCATTCAAATAAGTCAGTGAATTCAGAAATGCGTTTTCTTCTGTTCCAGATGAACTTCAGAGTCTTGCTTGGATAAAACCACTTTGTGTTAACTCTGTGAATGACTTGCTAATACACCTGCTGGGACAGTTGCTGCAGAGTATGCACTTTGAGAGGTGCTAGGGAAGAGAAATATTTGGATTGTTTTTGTTTTTTTTTTTCCCCTGGATCATTATGAACATTGGCTTTTGACCCCTAAAGTCAAAATGTTGAAAGCAGAATCTTCAGGTGAACGGACCACTCTCAGAAGCGCCTCGCCGCACAGGAATGCATATAGAACTGAGTTCCAGGCACTGAAAAGCACCTTTGACAAGCCCAAGTCCGATGGGGAGCAGAAAGCCAAGGAAGGTGGCGAGGGCTCCCAGCAGAGCAGGGGCAGGAAGTATGGCTCCAACGTCAACAGAATTAAAAATCTGTTCATGCAGATGGGCATGGAACCCAACGAGAGCCCTGCGGTCATTGCCAAAACCAGGGGCAAGGGAAGACCCTCGTCCCCTCAGAGAAGAATGAGGCCTAAAGAGTTCTTGGAGAAGGCCGACGGCTCTGTGGTCAAGCTGGAATCCTCCGTTTCTGAGAGAATTAGCAGGTTTGACACGATGCATGATGGTCCTTCCTATTCTAAGTTCACCGAGACCCGGAGGATGTTTGAGAGAAGCATGCATGAATCGGGACCCAACAACCGTTATTCCCCAAAGAAGGAGAAGGCTGGAGGGGGTGAGCCACAGGATGAGTGGGGCGGCTCCAAGTCCAACCGAGGTAGCACCGACTCCTTGGACAGCCTTAGCTCCCGAACCGAGGCTGTCTCTCCAACCGTGAGTCAACTGAGTGCAGTGTTTGAGAATGCTGATTCCCCGGGGGCTGTCACTGGTGAGAAGGCTGAGAGCAGTGAGTATTCGGTGACTGGCCACTACCCCCTGCACTTACCCACCGTCACCGTCACCAACCTCGACACATTCGGCCACCTGAAGGATTCTGATTCGTGGTCTTCTTCCAGCAAACAAGGTATTGATGCAGCCGATGCTCCCAAGGCTGATACAGCCCCGGTGCCAGAAGTGGCTTCTAAAGGGACCTCTGCAGCTTTAGTTGCTACTGACGAGATCCCACAGAGCAAGGAGGCTGAGGATTCCTCGTCTGTCCGGGAAGAACCCTGTGCTGACCGTCAGGCAGCGCCTAAGTCTGGGATCCTCCCCCCACCCCACGAATCTTTGGAAGAAGCTGAAGCAGATTTGGTTGGGGGGGAGGCAGCCAAGCCACCAAGGAAAGACCCCGCAGGTGGGGATTTCATCTCTCCGGCAGCTTCTGCAGACACTTGTGGGAAAGAAGCACTCGAAGACGCGCAGGAGTTGGAGTGTTCTCATGTATACATGCACAGTGACTACAACGTGTACAGAGTGAGATCCAGGTATAATTCAGACTGGGGAGAGACAGGTACCGAGCAGGACGAGGAGGACGACAGTGACGAGAACGACAGCTACCAGCCTGACATGGACTACTCCGAAATCCTCGGGCTGCCGGAAGAAGACGAAATCCCAGCCAACAGGAAGATCAAGTTCAGCAGTGCTCCTATCAAGGTGAGTGGGTCCTCTGTTTTTAGCATCATCGGGGCTTAACTGGTTGCAGAATAGATTGGAAAGGTGCTGTAAGCTTTGGCTGGGAATCCAAGATTGTTGATACGCACCTGCTGTCAGGCATTTTGAGTTTGGCATTTGAGAGGCATCATTTGCATTGGTTGCAATAAGTTAGAATGGCAGACACCAATAGTGAGCACTCAAAGTTGAGGAAGTTTTGGGATTTTGAGAAACCTTCCAACGCCTGGGAGATTGAAAACTAGGGATATTTGCTTGCAATACAACCTCTGTAACAAGTGCATGTGAAATTACCTATAAATGATAGCATTTTTTTTTAATCCATACATTGTAGGTTATGAGGTAAATGAACAGTGGAAAAGTTGTGGTGATTTTGAAATAATATACTCTATTTACTTGCTTACAAAAGTCTGAGTTATTCCTTACTTAAGTGTAAGTGGATTGTGAGGAATGTTGTTGGAGCTGATTTGTGTGTGAGTGTGTACACTGCTAGTTGGTATTGGAATTTGGTGTATGGAAATATATTAGCTGACTGAAATACTTGGATTGAAAAACTGCTGTAACCAGCTTTTGAGTTCAGAATTTGTTCGGTAGCTTTACGGTGAATTTTTGTGAAAGGTAGTAGGGATGGAATTGACATTCGTGGATGTATTTTTGACCTCTTCAAAATGGAATAAATGCCAGTTGAATTCAGATGCCCTGTTGTAATGACCTCACAGAGCAGACCTTTGGTACAGAAGAATAGCACAGAGTCGGTCAGCAGCGGATGGTGGCACATGATGAGGGGTAATGGCAGGATGGGCAGCAGGTGGCTGGCGGAGGATCTGCAGTCCCTCATGAGCCCTTGCTAAGTGCACTTGCCTGGTGGCTCAGTCCTGGGGGAGTCTGGAGGGTTAGGATGACAAATGTGTAGCTCGGCACTATTTTGCAGGGGCTTTTAGCTTACTCGTGTGTGTGTGTGTGTGTGTGTGTGTGTGTGTGTGTGTGTGTGTGTAGTGTGAGACACCTATGTGTATGATAGATTTGGAATGTGCTATCATACCTTTCATACCTCTCAAAATCTAAAATCACTGCAGCTGTTTCCAGGATGAGCTTCCATATAAAGCTTTGAGACGATGTGGAAACAACCAAAAGGAAAGCTGACAGTTCTTTAATGGTGAAATGCTATGTTACATTGAAGTAGTGATCTGTGAAATCATCCACAGGTGTTAGCAGGAAAAATGTTGGTTTTGTTAGTGTCAAGAAGAGACTGTGGATCAGAATGGACCATTTTGGACTGCAGTTTAATGACGTGAATGAAGTAGCTCTGTGGAGCTTCCGTGTCCTGTCACCCTCCCTCTGCCCTCAGCCTCTGGGCACTACCTTCAAAGGTGCCCGAGTCTCCAGTGAGCTCCTTAATCTCACCATTCATGTGTTCTTTGAACATCGTCTCTGTACCCTTCAGGAAGAAAGCTGTACGATTAAATTGCTTCACACTGAATAACGCAGGGCTAACTGAAATGAACTCTTCAAGGAGTTTGTTAAACCCAGTGGCTTAGTTTTTAATAGGAGGACGGGAGCTTATGAAAATGTACCAAGTTAGAACAGTGCGCCTTCAACCACAGGAGACACCCACCTTGCATTCAGTGCCGTGCTGCACAAAATTTAACAGGCGTGTGCCTAATGGTTCCCGGAAGATTCCTCATTGGGATCTGTCTGTTCATATGCACGCAGATATAGTTCTTTGAGTACGATCCTAGGAAATTCAAGCAGTTTTTGATACTGATGCTCTTAATTTTCACATAATAAGGGCCCTGGATTTCATATGGCAAAGATGATTATAAATTACATATATTGAAGGATAAGCCATTTCATCCAGAACTTCGTTCTAACCTGATTTGTGAGAAGATAGCGCATTGTGCGTGGGCAATTAACAATGCTGGTTGGAGTGAATTGAGTTTGAAAACAGAAGATCCGTTATTAGCCCCTTTGTGATGAATAAAACAATTATTCCTTCTTGCTGCTTCCATTCCTTAACATGCAAATGGATCCGCTTGGAATTTTTTAGGGCTGCATTCTAGTGGTGGTGGTGGTTGTAGTGTCTGGGTTAATCTCTAATTAAGGCGTTTTTTTTCCTTTTCTTTTGGTCTGGAGAATGGTAATAATTAAATCCATTAAGTATTTATTGAAGGCTAATCATGTGTGTTTTGTTTTGTTGTCATCTGTAGAAGAAACACAGATCTCTTAAGTTCATCTCTTCTGTAAGCATGTAGAGTCAATTTTAAAGCACATTTTAACTATAACCCGTATAACGCAAATGTGAGAAGCTGCTAAACTATCTGATGCCCTGTGAGTTCTTTTAAAGAGAATGTGGCTGTACTAAATACATAGAATAAAAGGGCTTTGACTGGTGATTTGGGAGAGAATGCATGAAGTTGTTTCCGACGTCTTTCCTTATTCTGTTCACAATGTGCAAACAAGGCAGGAGGAACCACAGCTCCTGCGTCCCAGGTGAATAGCTTCTCGTCCTGTGTCTGCCTCCCCTTGGTTTCTCCGCTGATGGTGATGAGGCTGAGAGCGTCGTTTGAGCCCAAACTGCAGGAATTCCTGATTGCCTAGGCAGTGATCCCTGCTCACCCTACTGAAGAGATGCCAGGCAGGTATACCCACCTACGACTGTGATTGACCTGCTACTGAGCCGTGAGTTTTCTTGTTTTGTTTTGGTAGAACTTTTGGAGATTCAGAATAAGACCATACTGGAGCCCTGAGGGGGAGGCTGCTAAGGAGGCAACACAGGTGTTAGGTCACAGATGGCATCGGGGTGACTTGGTCTTTCTATCCCTTTCTGTCCGTTAGTAAATCTCATTTGTTCCATCTTATGTTTTATTCTGGCTTTTTATTTTTTGGTGTCAAGTGTCCCAGGTTATTACTTAGTTTTTAAAAAATGTATTTGAGAGGGAGTAGGAGGGAGAGGAGAGGGAGACCCATGCTGGCTTATTCCCCAAATGCCTGTGGTAGCGGGGCTGGGCAGGAGTGAAGCCCAGAGACCAGAGCTCCATTGAGATGTTGCGTGTGGGTGTCAGAAGGCCAGCCACTTGAGCTGTCACAACTGTCTCCCCTGATCCCCAGGAACCTGGGGTCTGGGTACTGAACACAGGCATGTGGGCATGACTGGCTCAACTGGCTTGCTTGATTTTTTTAAGATTTTTTTTTTTTTTAATAAATTTGGAAGAGTCACAGAGAGTGGAGAGACAGAATCTTACATACCCTGGTTCACTCCACAGATGGGCTCAATGGCAAGGTCAGACTTAAGTCAGGAGCCCAGAGCTTCTTCTAGATCTCCCACATAGGGGCAGTGGAGCCGCTGGGACTCAAACCAGCGCCCAGATAGGATGTGGTGTTGCACTTGAGGCTTCGCGTAATATGTTACAGCACAAGCCCCTGCACTGGCATCTTAACCACTAGATTAAATGCCCACTCCCTGCTTACGTAGCTTTAACTTATCTTTTAAATTCTCCCTTCACTTCACTAGTTTACATTCTCTTCTAAACTTAACTAAGCCTGAAGTGTTGCCTCTTTCTCACCAACTGTGAGCTTCTTTACCACTTGTAATCACTTTTTCTAAGTTTCATCCATTCAGCTTGGTTGCTTGAGCTGTGTCACAGACTCTGAAGATTTATTTATTTGAAAAAAGACAGTGTGGACCCCAACCCCCAACACACACACATGCAAAGAGAGTTTCCATTTTCTGATTCCCTCCACAAAAGGCTACAACAGCTAAGATTGGGCCAGGGTGAAGGCTAGAGGGTGGATCTCTATCCTGACTCTTCCGCGGATAGCAGGGCCGCAAGTGCTTGAATCGTCTTCCAGAGTCTTCCCAAGTATGCCATCAGGAAGTTGGATAGGAAGCAGAGCAGTAGGAACTTGATATGGCACTCCGATATGGGTCAATGTCGCAAACTTAACCCCCTGTGCCCAGCAGCATCCAGTATTCTGAGTTGGCACAGCCAACTTGGGAGAGAGAGACTGGAGTGGAATCAGCCGTCTGGCATTTCTTACGGGTACTAGTGCTGCAAATCATGCAGCTTGCTCTTTGCACTGAGGATTTGAAGTGAAGGCCTCTGGCTTGCCTGCCCTGCATGCTGGGGACAATGCGTTAATGAAACTGCTGTCCAGATGGGGCTGCTGGGACTGGCTGGCTGGAAAGGTGTTCTTTGAAGATGAAGCATGGCGTGAGCCTGTGAAGTACACTTGGTTTATAGGTGTCAGTGTGGTGTGATCCCTACAATTGTAAGGAATCTGTTATGGCACATCCTTGATCTCTGTGAGCCCCCAGCCTTTGGATGGAAGAGGAACTTCTTGGTTGGCTTGCAAATGCTGGGTCTTATTCTTTTGGATGCCCAAATTAATACACTTCTAGAGAAACTCATTTAACTTGTTTTAATTCATGTAACTTTGGTTTAACATTTGAATTAGATTTCCTTTTAGGTTTTGATGTTTTGAAACATAACAGTTTATAATGAAATAAGTATTTTAATGCACCATATAAAATTGTATAGTGAATACCTGTTGTATTGCCTCTAAAATTCAATAAATAAACATTATACTGCTTTTTAAAAAACTGAACAATGAATGGTCATTTGATGTTTAAAAGAGATTTTTTAAAAAGGTTTCATTTATTTATGTTTGAAAGAATAAGAAAAAGAGATGGAGGAACAGAGTCAGGGAGAGCTTCCATCTGCCATCTAAAGGCCTACAGCAGCCAGGGCTGTCAGGCAGAAGACAGGAGCCTGGAGCTCCACCTGTGTCTGCCTCAGGGGCGGCAGGAACCCAAGTGCTTGGGCATCATCTCCTGCATGGCAGGTACATTAGCAGGGAGCTGAACTGGAAGCAGAGTGTTCCTGGGACTCGATGTCAGGTATTCAGATGTGAGGTTCAGGTGTCCCAAGAGTCAGCTTCATCCACTGTGCCCAGTGTCCTGTCGAGGGATTGTTTCTGGTGCACAT